TTTCAACATAAATCGTCCAAAAAAACTATTTAACTTCTGTGCGAATAAATTAGCTATAAATAATGATATCTCTATTTAATGTTTATTACATAAAATAAATAGATAATAAAATAATAAATAAAATATATGCGGTAAATTTTAATGCATTATTTAAGAATTTAATCTTAAAATGTTAACCAATTTCCAATAAACCTTCCAACAAATATTTCCATGAAAGATCACTTACTTTATAAGATACCTTTATAAAAAGCCGACTTCAATTGAGTTTTCTATAAACATAAATACTATTGAGACATGCAAAAGTAAGAGTTTGAAGTTGAAGTCCAAAGTTTTGAATAACTGTGAGTTAAAATACACCTAATCGATGTTATGATGAAAATTTTGCAAACATTATTGACAATAGATAAGTAACAAATTGTTATTTATAGAAGTTCAATTTAGCAATAGGACATTGAACTTAACTTTCTTGCATTTCTATTGAAAGAGATATCTATCTATGCGGTATCTGCGCTGCGCTAGGCATGGGCTCGCGGCCGTTCACTTTCCTCGTGTCAGGAAGTATCCGAAGCCACTTTCACTCCATTCAAGATCACAACCGCTCGTTCCGACTGTTCTGCTCCTAACAATAACTAGTCGACATTGTTGTTAACCAACGACCCGTCGAGGTCTCTACCAGCTGTATTTTCCTGATTCAAAGTGTACCGTTTAGTGGTTATCAATATCGATGAAAATGAAGCAGACGAACTGTATAGGTGTGTTGTCAAATTTTCAATGCAATTAAAATATCTCGTTAACACTTAAGGGTCATGGAGTCTTGGTACATTGAATTGCATAAAGACAAACTATCTAGTACAGTTATATAAACATATCCTATTTTATTAGAAAGTATGAATTAAGTAAGGTATACTTGTTGAACGAAGATTGCGTAGTGTGTAGCGTGTTTGTCGCCGCAGAAATGCGTAATAAGAGCATGAATAATCTCCGCGGTGCAAAATCAGGTTAACTTCAGGAATTGTAATGTTGAGCGATTTCAGGCCCCATTTCCCCGCGGGGTCGGCGACCGCGCTCTTATCTCGTGTGCGTGTGAGTGTGCACGTGTCGTGTGTTTGAGCTGCGCCTGCGTCTATTGTAGGGTCACCATGATGCAATTTTTCCATGGATATTTTTTTTTAGAAAAATTTAAATTTGCCTACTTGAACTAAGTAATAGTTACAATCAAGTCAAATAATCTTCTAAGCACCACTTAAAAACTTATATGGTTTGTGTGATACAAAATACGTAACTACTTATTATATTACACTTACATATACACATTTTACAAAAGTGTGGTAGAGGAAAGCCGGCTCAGAGGTTGAAAGTTTTTTAACTATTATGTAGTTAATAAAATTTGGAATTTAATACTTACTTTAATACTACATATGCATGTTTCAGTAATCATTAATATCATGGTCACCCTAACGTTCCGTATGAGTATTACTGGTAAGCATACATTATTATGCAACGCTTACGCAGCGGATAAGCCGCTCTATCAAAAAGCACATCAAACCTTTATTTATAGTGTAAAGGTTATTGTTTTACTTAAGGCACGCCGCTACCTGTAATTGTTTATTTAATCAAGCCATCGTAACAACTTTTACTACTTTAATAGCCCTTTACGTACCGAATGATTGCATATTAAATTGTGTTATTTATAAAACAAAACTGTAAATAGATAAATTGATTTGACAGTCGAGTGCTTTCTTGCTTATTTAATCTTTAATTAAACAATATCTATGGTACCTTAAGGTATACCATAATAAGATCTGTCGTTAGGTTGTTACGGTTTTGATAGCTTCGGTGGCATAAACATTGGGTATGTGGTTACATGTCTGTGCTCTTGTTAAAGTAGTAACAAGTTACGCATTAATTGGTTTACCTGTGGATCCTGAATCTTTCAACTAAATATTGCATTAATTGAATTAAAACAACCCTTATACCCTTTTTGAACTTAAAATTTATAAATTACTAGCTTTCGCCCGCGACTCCATCCGCGTGGAATTAAATAAACAAAAGTGAGTTGCCTATGTGTTCTTCCAGACTATGCTCTACGTCTATGCCATTCATTGAGATCCGTTCAGCTGTTTAGGCTACAAACTCTAACAAACATCCATCCATCCATCCATCTAAACTTTCGCATTTATAATATTAGTTAGATTCTACGCTTCACAAAAGACAGCGCCTGACATAGGAATCTTAGAATCTTCATACAAATGCGTTATTCTAAAAGCTTAGCTATATAACGATCAAAGGTTGAGGTTTAAAAGAAAAATAAAATATCACTTTAACCTTGGAATCTTTTCAAGCTCACAAAGATTTACGGCCGTCGACACAGATGTAAAGGAAGTGATACGCCACCGCTATAACAAGCTCTACATGGTGGACAACCTGACAAATATTAAGTTACTATACGTCACGGGTTAAAGTCCCAGTTAATTTTAATCTTGACAGGTGGCACTTCTCAGTTTCTCAAAAATGTATAGAAAAGTACAAAGGTTTGTCCTTTGACTAGCACTAGCGGCTTGCAGCGTTATGGAGGGGGGATGCCCAAATACTGGGTGAACAACCTCTTAATGCTTGGAGGAGACATTTTATTTTTACCATACATCGCGGCCGCGGCTGCCGCTTGAATAGTCAGTTACAATTTAAAAACTAAATAGTACAAGACAACTGGATCTATTTTCATATCCGTTAGTTCAAAAG